GTGACCAATATAGATCCAAGATAAGGTATCAAGCCAATAGCAAACAATTTAACTGCTTAGCTTGGGGGTTGTGATGGCACACCTTGCACCATAACCACTATATTGTGATTAAGTGGTTATGGTGCTAGGAGTGTTAATTTAATGGTACTTACTTTATCAACTTTAAAAAAGTAATGGGTTGAGTTGCACAACTTGGAATTTGATCCTGCGCCCAAGAGGTTCAAACGCTTACAACAGTTGGTGCTCACATAAAACATCACAACCATGGTGGTAACATTGGGATAATTGCCTTGACTTCTACCTCTTTATCAGGAATAAGGGCTAGTGTGACCCACTAGGACCAGGAAAGTGGCAGACTCAAGTGATTACATTCCAGATCGGTCCAGATGATTTGGATCACAGTGCTGCTGAGGAAGCTCAGTAGTAGAAGCAAAACGTGTTCAGCTGTCCTTGGATTTTTTTCTTTTTCTGCTCCCCCCCATGTTTCATGTGTGAGAGTATTATTTATTTTCACTTTAACTATGCTTATCTACAAAAAAGTGGTCAAAACAGCTGCCCTGTATTTGTCTAATAAATCATACTTTTCATGGAATTTCTATGGTATTTGTAATTGGATATCATATGAGTGCAGGTCCAATAATGCATAATAAAATCCAAGTATATTTTCATTGGGGGTATATTTACTAAACAGTGATATTATTATTATGAATAATAATAATAATATTATTGTACTAGTAGTAGGCAATGGAGTGTCCCTTTAAGTGTAGAATCTACTTGGCTAAGAACTGTAAGTTTTCCTTTAATTAATTTACTACATCTGTCAACCCAGCCTTTCTTGTAAGCACATTTCACAATATATCTGACCTTTTATAATGTGACATGGCTCATTGAAAACTGCTTACTCATTAAAGGAACTACTTTGAAGTGACTTGTGTGTCAAGAGTTTGTGACTGTGTTTTATTAGGGAGAGGCACTAGTATTGAATCTCCCCTATCACCCATACTGAGACTGCAAAACAAGCATTTGTCTCTATGTATACTACATCACATTATTGTTATGTGATTTTCAAAAGGATTGAATTGCTACTAAGTATTTGAAAATATATTTGAGGAGAATGGCTATGAATAATTATGCATTTTCAGTACATATCCCTCTTTAATGATAAAAGGTGCAACATATGATAAAATGTGCAACATCATTAATATAAATAAACGTGATCTAATCTGTTTCTATGTAGCTCCCTGTGTCTGAATCTGTTTTTTTTTTTTTTTCTGAGCAATTTAATTTATAGTTTTCATAAAATACATAAGGAAACTAGGGACTAAGATGTTTCCTTATGTGTAGCAGTCAAGTTGATAAAACATGGCAATGGGTGGAGCTTAGGCAAGATTCTGTTTCAGATGTTTCCAAAGTTACCCACATTCCATCAGTACATTGACTCCTATAGAAGGACAAACAGCAGACATGGGCAGAGGTGAACAAAATGGCTGCACTCAGCTATTAATATCTGGACACAAAAAAAAGACAACTATAAATATACAGCCATAAAACTGGTGATAGGAGGCAACATTGTCTGAACAGAAATCATAACACCTGCCTGGAGGTTCAGCTCCTAACCTTTTAATCATCAAAATGCTTTTTGCCTCAGCAACCCATAACGGAAGGAAGAATTTTAGAACTAAAATAGCTATTTCTAGCCATGAACCTAGGCCTTATTTTTAGTTCTGAGTAAGTAGAAAGATGTCAACTACAGAATATAGTGTTGCATTCATATTTTCCCACATGCTAACGGATTTTAGTTATGCAAATACCTCTGTTCTTAGAGTTGTATATATTTCTAATTACAACAATTCATCTAGAGCAGTGGTTCCCAACCCAGTCCTCAAGTACCCCCTACCAGTCCAGGATTTAGGGATTACCCCGTTGTGTCTGAGGTGTTTTTAGAAAAAGAAAAAAACACTTTTGACACAACAGGGTAATCCCTACACCCTGGACTGGAAGGGGGTATTTGAAGACTGGGTTGGGAACCCCGGATCTAGAGCAATATATGTATAACAACCTTCACCAGTTTAAGGAAAGAGAGAGGAGCCACCTTACTTAGCATTCTGCTACTTGTGGATGTGCTCATATGTGAGAAGGCTTGTGAAAGGCGTCATATAGGCACGTGATTCCAGAATTCTTCCCCAATTCAATTTAAAATATGTCCAAAAATTTCAGGAAAATGCATAATGTGTATCTGTGGCAGTGTGTGTGCCTGAGGCAGTGTATCTGTGTGTGTTGGTGTGTATGTGTGTCTGTGGCAGTGTATCTGTACGTGTGATGGTGTATGTATATCTGTGGCAGTATGTGTGTGTATCTGTGTGCATGTGGGCTTGTTAAATATGCTCTCCACACTGCTAAACAGGTTCTAAACAGACATTCAAGGTACTATAACCACTTTCTCTCATTGAAGTTGTTGTAAAGGGCAGTGTGTATGAGTATCATTGTTAATATTTGTATGTGGTAGTGTATCTGTATGTGTCAGTGTGCATGCATATTGTGTATCTGTGTCAGTATTTGTGTTTATCTGTGTCATTTTGTAAGTGTATATGTGTCAGTATGTGTGGGTATCGGTGTCAATATGCGTGTGCGGCAGTGTATGGTTATCTGTCCAAACATCCCAGCATCCAAACACCAACACTATACACAAATACCCACTGCAGTCAAACTCAAAAACCACAAACAAGCTCACCCCTGCATTCAGACACCAGCATTATATACAAACACACCCCTGCATTTAAATGCCAACGCTACACACAAATGTATACCTACGTTCAAACACACCCCTGTATTCAAATGGCAACAGTACATACACATACAATCCTGCATTCACTCACACATACTCCATACAAAAAAATCCTTACGTTCAAACACACAGACACTGCTCACAAATACAACCCTGCAAGGATGAGCAAATGTTAGATGCTCAGCTGGCAAAACATTATGGAAGTTGCACAACAGTTGAGGATTTACCTTTTGAACACTCTTGCGCCACAGGGAGCCCAAAATATTTCCTTGCACCAGGACCCTCTTTGCATTAGTTCCACCCCTGTCCTACTGTTCTTTTTTTTTTTTTTTTTTGCGTGATATAAAAATAAACTAAAATAAAAATTAAGAAAAAAATACATATAAACATATTATATTACGTTTTTGAAAATGATTGAATAAAACACCGCCACCACATAATTATTAGCTAATAATGAGATCATATATTTTTTTTTTGCTGCTCCTATTCTTAATGTTTAAACAACTATATTGTGAGAATTAACCATTGTCATACTTATGCTTCATTTATTGCAATGACACACCTATATCTCATTCCGTATATGTGGCCTAATAATTATCAGGGTTGGCCTGTTCAATAAAATAATCAATACATTAAAACAAGTCAGTTTTTATCTCTGATGCCACAAACAAACTAGTCTACTGTGCTTTGAAGACATGAGCATTGTGTCATTACAGTGCCATTCGTAAAGATATGACAGGACTAGGAGATACATAAAGTTATGGTATCCATGAAGATTAGGCGGTACTCCCTGACTCAAGTTCTAAACTATAGTTCTGATCATTTTTATTAATCCATATCAACATTCATTTGGGGGTTAGCTACCGAATTTGGTGGATACACTGTTGTGCAACATGCTATTAAAGAGACACTGTACAGTACAAAATACTGCAGTGGTTATGGTTTTCTGACGAAGTTCCTGCACTCTTTAGGTGTCAGTTGAGTGACTTTCACTCAACACATGACTTTGAAGAGGAACGGTCACTTCAAGTGGCAGTTCCTTGTATTTTTCACCCTAGTGAATGTTAGTAAATTGCGCTTTTTACTAGGGAGAAAAACGCAGAAGAGGTAAGTATAAAAACATGCATACTTACCTCAGCTACCTCATTACATACTTTGCTATACATACTTTTAGTTAGCTACTTAGTTGTGCTAAATTTGTGGAATTGACAGTTCCCCTTGTAAGCATAGCTCATAGCTCCGCCTGCAAGCTCTGTCAGTCAGAGAGCCAGAAATTACACTTCTGAATTGCAAACCAATTTATGCCAATTAGTGTGTATGTCACTGCTGATGTGGAAGGATTTGCAGGTACTTTTGCTGAATTCAGAATCTTGGATTTGCACAATTTAGGCTTACAGACAAGTAGGATAAAATCACCAATTCAGCCAAGTTTGAGATCAACTATTTAGGCTTTAATTTTGCAGGTCAGTTTGAATTGCCATAAATCCTTGTTTTGTGAATAGTCACCTATATCATTGCCTTTTCTTAATGTATTTGCTATTTATTCTTTAAGACCAAAGTTTTTTTGTTGTTTTTTTTTTTTAACTCTGATGCTGTGGTGTTTGGATGGGCTGCAGAGATGCACAAGGATGGATTAGGCAAACCAGTCTGCTTTTTTTCATTCAAACATACATAGTCCATTTAAGGTATTGCAAACAGAAGATGACATTTCAACATTAATTAAGTAAATCAATATTATTTTAGTTGCATTTGATGAAAACAAAAACAAGGTAAAGAAAACATTTTAATGTACAATAAAACAAATTCTAATTAAATTTAGAACAGTCAAAACAGATACATCATTTATCAAAATATGAATAATTATTAAAACTCCAGTAACATATATCTGTATAAATATTCCAAATTTCAAATTTTATTAAATCTAGGGCCTTTAATGCTCTATAATTACACAATATCTCATTATGTTTTTATATTTAATGATGTTTTTTTTTTCCTTTCATTCTAGAAAAGATATTAGGAAAAAAATAGAAATATATAAATAAACTATGGAAAAATAATTTTAAAATAGCTACAATAAAAAAAATGCTCTGGGAGCATCATTGTTAAATGTCAATAAAAACAACACAGTTAAGCAAAAACATAAAATAAAATAAATGAAAATGAAACATAAAAAATGAATAAAAATAGTATATGATTTATAAATCTAAGATCGTGTTGGGAAAAAAAAATGAAATTGATGATAGGGTATAAATGTGTGTTTTTGAAAAATAAATCAGGCTGAAAATGGCAACAAAATAATAGCAAGAATTAATAAAATTCATAATTTAAAAAAAAAATGAAGAAGGAAAAAAAAACAAGACAAATGTAAGAAAATAATGTACACTAAACTCAGTCATTAGTAGAGGACCTGTCCGGGTAATGCAGGCAACATGGGGCTTCTCAGTCTTGCTTGAAAGTAAATACAAAGACTGCAGATCTCAGCTCTCACATATAGTCGACCTCTCTCTTGTCCTGAATGCCTGTCTGTCCCAGTTAGATGAGCTGGTTGCTATAGCAACTGAGCTCTGACTAATCATTTGCGCAATGACCTTTCTCCCCCCCCCCCCAGAGAGAAAGATGGAGAAAGACAGAGAACGAGGGAGAGGGGTAGAGATGGAGAGAGAGAGTAGAAAATAAAGTGGGAGGCAAGCGGAGTGGAGGTTGCAAATAACAGTTACACTATGACAGAAATATTTCCTGTATGGAGGGGGGGAGACGGGAAAAAATATATATTTTCACATATATATATATTTTTTTAATTTTAAAAGGCTGCGACCCTGTGATTTTTCACTCATGCACGCTGTAGATTGCAAGGGCAATGGAAAGCCACCGCGAATACGGTGAAGATGTGAGATTTTTCTTTGTGGGAAGGGGTTGTGATAACGGTCTATAAATAGATACCATGGAATCAGATTTAGGGTTTTTGTAATTTTTTTTTTTTTTTTTTTTTGCTCGCAGGCCTTAAAAAAACACCAGGGAATGGTAAACATTCTCTTCTGTTATGATGCTTTAATTGCATTTTTTTAAAACAGGCGAAGGAGTAGGTGACTTGTTCATTAGATAATTACTGTTACCTATAATTGGGGCATTTTTTTATTTTTTTTGCGCAGGGCTCAGGCAATTCATATAGGCCCACAGCGACTGCGTCCTGCGCTCTACAGCATTGTTTTGTTTCTTTTCTGGTACATTAGAAGTCGTAGGATGGTGGGGGTGACAAAAGAGAGCGAGCAAAATCTATGAAGTACTGGGATAGCATAACGTAAACATGGTGCTAAAATGGAGGTAGAGTAAAAAACATAGTGTAAAAATGGGGGGAGGGTAGAAACCATGGTACTAATATGGAGGGAGGGTAGAAACCATGGTGCTAATATGGAGGGAGGGTAGAAACCATGTTGTTGAAATAAAGGGGGTAAGTATCCAGGTGCTGAAAGGAAGAAGATTGAAAACTGGACTGAAGTAAAGTGAAGAAAATGGGCAACTAGGAACATCTATTTGGGTCAAAAATAAAGGAGAGCTTTCCATCAAAATATGCCTGTCTAGAATATCTGTTTTCTCTCATAAATACCTATTACTATTAAATGATCAGCTGTACCCCAGCATCTCCCCAGTATTACACCAAACAAGAAATTAACTATATCCCAGCATCTGTCCTTTTACTGTGCCTGAACCAAGTTGTACCCCAGCATCTCCCCAGTTACTACTCCAAACAAAAGACCAACTGTACCCCAGCATCTCCCCAGTTACTACTCCAAACAAAAGACCAACTGTACCCCAGCATGTCCCCAGTTACTACTCCAAACAAAAGACCAACTGTACCCCAGAATCTCCCCAGTTACTACTCCAAACAAAAGACCATCTGTACCCCGGCATCTCCCCAGTTACTACTCCAAACAAAAGACCAACTGTACCCCAGCATGTCCCCAGTTACTACTCCAAACAAAAGACCAACGGTACCCCAGCATCTCCCCAGTTACTACTCCAAACAAAAGACCAACTGTACCCCAGCCTGTCCCCAGTTATTATGCCTGGGACCATCTGTACTCCATCATCTCTCCAGTTACCACGGCAATCAAGAGACCACTTATGTAGCAGCATCTCCCCAGTTACCACAGCAAACACGAGACCATTTATTTCGCAGTAACTTTTCAGTTACCCCATTAATGTAGAAACTGACTGTTCCTCAGCAAATTTCTCGTTATCACTTTAACCAAGAAACCAATTATATCCCAGCCATCTCTCAAGTTACCATTCAAACATAGAAATCAGCCACAAAATAACTTCCATTTACCACGCAAACCTAGACACCAGCTGTACATTAGCATTTCGCAGCTTGCTACACAAACATAAGCCAACCATACACCAGCATCTTTCGATGTACCACACAAATGTAGAAACCAACCATACAACAATACCTCCCCAGTTATCACACAAGACAACCATGCAACCACACCTTGACAGTTATTACACGAAATAACCATACACCACCATCTCTTAATGAACCACACAAACCTCGGAGCAAACTGTACATGAGCATCTCTCGATGTACCACGAAAAAACCTAGGAACCAACCATAAATCATTCAACTGTTGAAGTGTTCTGCTTCATTATTCCAACCACAAGAAATCATAGAACAAATATAACCCAATCTACCCATTTTTTTTCAAATAAGGACCGACACCTAACCAGAGAAACCAAGCAGCCAACTATTTGCCTAATCTTAATTCTTCTAAATGTGCACAGCACATTTATTTTAAAGATATTTACTCCGTTTTGCTTGTTCTGCAACTTTTTCAGAATCTCTCCTTCCTTTTTGGCAATCAACTGCACCTGAAAACACATTCACTAAACACCCAGATCAAGAAGAAAGAAGCCCCCAATATTTCTCCAGTGCCAATACATATCGATAAGAGAACAATATGTCGTGGTCATCATAGAGGACTTCATCGACACATTGTGGTGGTTTTGTTTGAAAGCGATGGGTCAAACACTCATTAAATTAAGTATTAAAGATATAGGAAATGGATGTGCAATTTGCAGTATTAGACGTCCATGGGTATGATAAATTAATCCGTGCTGTCCCTGATTATATGTTTAAAAGGACACAGACAGTCGAGTGGTGGACATTTAAGTAGGGGTTGCACTATTACAGCTGGGACAGAATAAAGGCGTACATTTTTGCTTGGGTACTTTTTGAGAAAAGTGAAAATTCATGTTATATTAATAAGGCAGGAGTGATAAAAGAAGGCAGAGGCAATAATGAACCCATAGCAACATGGCTGTGTTGCCTAAGTTTTAGTTACCGAAGCCACAGAAAGAGAATTTCTAATTGACTGGCTAGTGATGAACAATGGAACAGACAGAGTTTAGTTTTAGATAAGACTCATTTTTTTTTTTTTTTATATAGAGATGGGTAAAGAGCTAGAGAACAGAGCTGGACAGATGATGAAATGGTCCGAACAAAGGTTCCTGAAAAAGCAGCCAAACAACAAGTGTATCATGCCAGCATAGAGGTGGCTCCAGTTTTATTGGAAACGGTTAAAATACAATTTTATTTCATGTGTTTTAGAGCTCGACAACTGCGTTTGTGACTGAATCACAACTCGTCATGTGCAATTTTTGGAAATAATGCAGCCTTGTAAAAATACAAGGGCCTCTCTTCACTTTAAATTAAAGATTGTAATTGTATGTTTTATGAGGTATTTATTGATTCACAAGATAAAATAGTTTAGAAATTTACATGTTCACTGTAAATCAGTATTTTGGGGGGCTTAATCATAAGACTATGTTTGCATTTCTTCTTCGGAGATTCAGTTTGATTATATATAGATTTAATATGCAAACGAGTGTGTATATGTCTGCTTGTCTGTCTGTCTGTCTTTCTATCTGTCTGTCTGTCTGTTGAGAGGATAATGGCAAACTGTGTATAATGGGTAAATAATGCCATGGAGGGCCTGTGGATAAGTAAAAACAAAATCATGAAACTGAAGGTCGACTGGTTTATGAATCCCTCCAAAACTCTAAACTGGAATAATTTTCCCATAATGCAAATATCACTGTAATTCATCATTATATTAATTCTTCTTTATGACTAGGATTGGTGTGTTGGTGTTAGAGTTAATACGAGGGTTCATATTTTTTTTTTTAGGGTGAGAGTATAGGCATGCGCACAGGTTGTACCCAGATACACCATAATGCAGGTGGAGTGCCGGTTCTTAGACACCACTCCAGCTGCTGAAAGAGCCAACAAGGAAATCAAAGAATGTCCCTGACCCACTCTCTGCCTTCTCGTTCCTACTAAGGAGCTTGTGTTCTGAATCTTGTGTGAGTGCAGATCACTTCAAATGATCCCATGTCGTCCTGGACTGGAAGAAGCATTCACAGTGATCTGCACCCATTGGAAGTGCAGACCAGAGTTACAGTTGCCTGGGGCAGAAAAAAATGTTACACACCCCCATTTACCCACCCTAGCCCCTATTCACTATGTCCCTCTGGTTGTAAGGCTAATTCAACATATGTAAAGACTATAGTATTTGTCAATAAAGAGCATTACATTTTTATGGATAAACACTTCTTAATGCTGGTCTTAATTACTGGTGACAAATGTGAGCATGTTTTGTGTGTTTGAACATACACTGAACAAAATTATTTGTTTTTGCCCCCATTTTTCATGAGCTGAACTCAAAGATCTAAGACTTTTTCTAGGCCTATTTCTCTCAAATATTGTTCACAAATCTGTCTTAATCTGTGTTAGTGAGCACTGACATTCACAAACAGATGCACACATGTATACACACTGGCACACATACACAAACATATAACACATATACATAATTTACAGATACAAACAGACACACTCAGATAGCACATACACAATTTTATACACACAATTAGCACATACACACAGAGATATGCACACACATATAAACACAAATATTATACACACATATAAACGCACACAGATAACACATACACACATATATACACACACAATTGTTTTGGAGATTTTTAGCCACACCTGCTTCCATACCTGCCTCCCTGGGGTTCCACTGAGAATTGGGCTTAAATATATAGACATGCCTACCGATTTAGAACCCAACAGGTAAATGACACATGCGTCACTTGTTATCATCACCACTACACTATAAAAGCAGTCAACTAAGCAGGTCGGATCATTCCAAGATGGATCCATTCTGTTTGTAATTCGTGATCATGAAATACAGATTTCAAGGTTGTGTGTTTACCGATGTTTAACTAAATGGTTACTCCAACCACCATGACCACTTCTGCTGTTTAAAGTGGTCATGGTGATAGGAGTCTGGGTGTGCAGAAATAGTCTTAATTGTGTGCCTGCAAGGGATAAGCTCTTCTTTTCCCTCCCACCCATACTAAGGAAAGCCCTCCTTCATCCCTACCCCTTGTACAGATATATTTTTATTCCACCCTGCCTCCTTCTTTTTTCTCTCCATCCCTCCCTTCCT